AGATGAGCCTCGCCCAATAAAACGCACAAGTTGCGGGGCCCTCAATAATTGGTTAATAATTGTATAGACTTCGGATTCGGCCGTTTAGCAAATTTTACGGCCTTACCCAAAATAATGATACGCTAGTCGCTTTAGGCGCGTACTTTAAGTAACATTACCTTCTTAAACCCGGGTGCACATTTATGTGACCCGAATCCAAATCTCAACAAAGTCGAAATGTGTCTCTAACCACGGGTGTATTGATGTGACGTGGTTCGAGATGTGTTTTCACGACGTTGTAATTCTCTGTTAAAATAATAATAGTAATAAAAGCGGTAAAGAGTTTAACGTTTGCACTTAGTTCATAATTGTATAAAATCAGATAATCAAGCCGAATATGACAGTTGAGCGACCGAGCTAGAACCACGGAACTCGGGAATGCCTAACACCTTCTCCCGGGTTAACAGAATTCCTTATCCGAATTTCTGGTGCGCAGACTGTTAAACAGAGTCATTCTTTTCCTCGATTCGGGATTCAACCGGTGACTTGGGACACCATAAATCTCCCAAGTGGCGACTCTGAAATAAATAAATAAATTCCGTTTCGATTGTCCTTTAATTGAAAAAACTCCTTTATCTACGCTCCCTTGCGGTTGGCGCGGGCGAAAAAGGAGGTGTGACAAAGGTGATTTGTATTCGTCGCCGACTTAAAATTTTTAAATCGCGTCAACTATTTTTCCTCTGAAGTTGCTATTGAGATTTGGCGGTCTGTTCAAATATTTATAGGAACTAATAATCTTTTTTATATAAATAATTAGTGTTTATTGAGTACTTATTGTCAGAGTTGAATCTAGGGTCCCAAGAGGATGAATGCACTATCCTGAATAGGTGGATCTAAAATTTACATTTGTAATATTTAACTTTAGTCTCTTATCATGAATTCACTAACAACAACAATAACAATATAATAAAATCTTACAAGTGGGGTCTGGGGAGGGTAGTGTGTACACAGACCTTACCCCTACCCGAAGAAGTAGAGATGCTGCTTCCGAAAGACCATCGACTCAAGATAATAAAAAGACAAAAGGAGAGAATATTAGATTCACTACGGAGATCATGAATCCACCATACTTTTGAAATTATAGGTTCAAAATTATATTCTTTTAAATTTTTTAGTAATTTACATGTATATATTTATATTTCGTACCGAAAACAAAACCGTCCGAAGTGGGATTTGAACAGCTAATTTTATTTGTACAGGTGCACACAATAATTATTGCACCACAGAAGTCTTTGAGCATGTGTGCACATGCATATATTTGAGTAATTTTAAAGAAATATAACATTTTTTTTTGAATCCCAAGAAAATTCGCAGCCGTTACAATCTCTGTGGTGAGTATTCTGTGTGCATTGGGTAAATCCCCACTGTGTAAGAACCTGCAAACCACACAAGGAATGTCAACCGCACTAGCCAACCCCTGTGCGACAGACTCGACCAAGAAGACATTGAAAGGGGATCGATCCCTTCAAACCAACCGGGTCATCCCGAAAGGATAAGAAATATAACATTATTATATATACTTTAAAAGAAAAGTATAGGTTCACATGAACCCATATATATCAGAAGACCTAGATACGCCGCTGCTTATTGCTGACATATAGTGGAACGTGTTTCTCACGATGTTTCGGTGTGCGAAATGACAAAATCTTATTCTTTCAAAGTACAACTTTGACAAGAAAAACAAAGAGAACACCCTTAAATTTTATTTTCATTGTTATTCTTTCTCCTCTCCTTCCGCTCTTAATTATTGGCCCAAAATCGTCCACTTTTCTTCTCACTAGTACTTGCAAGCATTTAACATATTGTAAAACCTAATGACCGAAGCAAATTCAAAATTTAAAATTTATAGGTTCTTACAATAACTTTAAGTTAATATACAGTAACAATTAGGTTCATCATCAAATTTTTATAATTATTTAATAAATTCTTAATAAATATATAAGGTCTGCCACCCAAGATCTGACATTGCCTTGGTGATAGTTTATAAGTATTCTTTACCTTAAAATTTCTTTGTCAAGTTATTTTGTTTTTGAATTCGAGTTACGAATTACAGCTGATGAAGGAGGGCTAGACTTGACCTTCATTTTAACTATGTTAACCTGGGTTAACATAGTTAATTATACATAGTTCATGTTCCAAAAAGGCAAAAAAGTAACAACAAAGCTGGTACTCCAAGGTGGCTCACAGACGAGCACACCAAGTTTTCTCTTCTTGACTCGACAAGATGGTTATTGCCATCTATTAGTGTTCAAAAAACCTCTAATTATTTATCTTGATATAGTATTAACCCTGTCAAGTAATTGTTCTTAGTAACTTAGAAATTAAGTCTGCAAATCAATGTGTATATCTCTTCCATAAGCATACATTTTATGATTATGTGAGCTACCTTAACCATAATATGATTGAACACAAACCCTTAACGCACGTGCTAAATTTAACAAAAATACTAGTATAACATTAAACCAAAAGATCAAATTTGGTAAGTGTGAAAAAAACATAATCATTTACAGTATCACTTATAACCGAATTAAATACATTTATCTACAGGAAACTCAAACTAGTGCACTAGTACATGTTAATCACCTGCTATGACCATTAGTACATATGTTTAAATATTATTTCCAAACAAAACAAGTACAAATCTTTATAAGTTTCGAACCGCGTAAATCAAATTAAATGACATATGGTGGAACCTCGATCAACTTGAACCCATAATGTTCAAAATTCCATATCCGCCTCTGCCATCAGCTTACCCAAAGATCAATCAAACTTAGCAGGCCACATTCGCGGAATTATTAGCCGTAGGAGTTTTCTTGGAAACCCTACTGCCAAATAGGAAAAACCCAAAAACATGCCCGACCACGACAACTATGAAAACACCGACGTTAAAAGACATAAGAGCAAGCATGACAAGATAAGCAAGGGTTACTCTTAAACCATGTACGAGGGTTCGACCAAAAACATTTTTCGCCTCGCCATTTTTAAAGTAGTTACAGTGAGGGAGCCATTCCACAAGGACAGAGAGCACGAAGGCTAAGATGAGGGCGAGGACGTACATGCCCGTGCGCGTTCCCGGCCAGCCTGAGAAAAGAATTTCGGCATTTTTGCTCCATAAAAAGGTCATGTGTGTCATTCCCATATTGTCCATGTGATTTTGCGCAGGACTATTCATAGGCGATGGTGGTGACATTTCTCCTCCCATTCCTGGCATGTTATGATCCATGGCTTGTGTAGATTATCTTAATCAGACTGATACTGGAATAATTAAAAGGAGACTTGTTATATATATAGATATAAAGGAATGAGAAGGGCAAATTAAAACCTTGTGTAGTACACAATGATGTGTACTGCTTGGGTTGACTATACTTGTTTCTTGTAGTTTTGTACTTCCTTTTATTCAGTTCTTTAGTTTGTTCTTCCTTTGAAACGTAAATAACGGTGAATGAAAAGCTTTTGGTTAATTAGAATAAAAATAAATTTACATTTAAGTGCTTAAAAGATAATCAAGAAATATATAAAAGTCGTCGCTGATCACCTTAGAAATATATCCAAAATATATTAATGGTATGACCACTTCAAATACCACAAAATTGCACGCTTCATGCCTTATTACTTTTTTTTTTTATGCCTTATTACTTATTAACAAGACTGGGAGCATTTCTGATTGCGACAAATTATATTCTTGTCCTTTTTTTTTTAAATAAAAAGAATTATCTTTAGGATTTATGTTATACTAGTTGAGCCCTGTCCGAGCACAGCTCGGCCCAAACAATTGTAATAATAATATTCATTCACTACCAATACTCAATGTCTTTTATTCCTCTTGATAAAAGGAAATTCTCGAACCTAGAAGTTTAGAAATTGTGACAAATTTTCTAGTCGTTTTATTCTTTCCTACCAATTGTGATTCATAATATGTTCGAATTTTTTTTTATAAAAATCAAATTTATGAAATGGAAAATTAAGAAACAATCTAGAGTCATCTATATATAAATATAAAGCAGGGCAAAAAATTAGTGACGTGGCATCATTCCTACGGCATAAGTGTTATTTATCTTTTTTGCTGTTTTTTTGCATTTTTTCTTTTATTTTATGGTAAAAAACTGCTTTATTTAACTTAAATATCCAAGAAGGAATGTGACGGTTGCAATTGTAAATTTATAGGAATGCAACGGTTGCAATTGTTACTCTATAGGAATGCAACGGCTAAACTCTTAATTAATGAAAATAATGGCGATAATTAGATTAGAAACATATACTAGCTTACATTTACAAGTACTAGCAATCAAGGTATCAACAATTGCACTTTTCCTCTTTAAACCCCATCTTTCGCTTCATTTTTTTTGAGTGGTAAAGCTCAGCAAATAACGTGCTTTCACTCAGCAAAAAAAGTTCATTTCAACTTGGAATTGATCTTTAAGAGAAGTCAATTGTGATGACCCAAAATGTCATCTTTAAGTTAAATAATTATCTCGGTGTTTTAAGACCATGAAAAGCGCTATAAATAATTTCTCGACTTGCATGTGCAGTCATATAATTTTCCGGAAGGTTTTTATATGAAAAATGGATTAAATTGTGAACTAGAGCTTTAAAACTCAACTAAGTTAACTTCGGTTAACATTTTGAGCAAACGAACCCGGATAAAAGTTTTGACAATTCCGGTAGTTCCGTATCGTAATTTGAGACTTGGTCATATGCTCGAAATCGAATTCGGAGGTCCCTAGATCAAATTATCGCCATTTAACGGAATCTAGAAATCTAAGGCTAAAGATTTCTTAAGTTTGACCGGAGATTTGACTTTTTGATATCGGGGTCGAAATCCAGTTCTGAAAATTTTCATAGCTTCGTTATGTCATTTATGACTTGTGTGCAAAATTTGAAGTCAATCGGATTTGATTTGATATGTTTTTGCATCGAATATAGAAGTTGGACGTTCCTAGTTTCATTAGGCTTGAATTGGGGTGTGATTCGCGGTTTTAGCATTATTTGATATGATTTGAGATTTCGACTAAGTTCATATGATGTTTTAGGACTTGTTGGTGTATTTTGTTGAGGTCCCGAGGGCCTCAGGTGGATTTCAGAAGGTTAACGGATCAATTCGGACTTGAATTTAGCTGCTGAAATTTCCTGGGTAGCTTCTGCATTTTTCGCACGTGTGAATATTTACCGCACCTGCGTGTACAGTAGCTTCAATAGTAGCGTGAACAATAACACGCATGGACAGTAAACACGAAAATTCTGGACNAACTGCTAAAATTTTCTTGGCAATTTCTGCATTTTTCGCACGTGTGAACAGTGACCGCACCTGCGTGAACAGTAGCCGTGTACAGTAGCGTGAATAGTAGCCGTAAACAGTAGCATATACAGTATCCGTGAACAGTCCCGTGAACAACAAACACGTGAACAGTACCACGGAAATTCTGGACGGAATGTTAAGTTCTGAAAATGGGACTTCCATTTTTACCAAATTGGAGCTCGGGGAGAGGCGATTTTTGGGATATTTTCAGAGAAAACAACGGGGTAAGTATTCTTAACTTAATTTTGGTTAAGATTACCTGAATCTATTACTAGTTTTGGCATTAAATCTGTGAATTTAGTTGAAAGATTTTGAAAACCCTCTCGGATAGATTTGAGGACCGAAATATTATCGAAATTTAGTAATATTGGTATGGTTAGACTCGTGGTTGGATGGGGGTTCATATTCCGTAACTTTTGTCGGGTTCCGAGACGTGGGCCCCACGGGCGAATTTTTAGTGCAATTTCGGATTTTTAGTGGAAAATGTAGAATTTCATATAGAATTAATTCCTATAATTTTTATTGATTGAATCGAATTGTTGTGGCTAGATTCGAGGCATTCGGAGGTTGATTTGAGAGGAAAAGGCATTGCGAAGTAGGATTTTGCTCGAATTGAGGTAAGTAACAGTTATAAATCTGGTCCTGAGGGTATGAAACCCCGGACATTGTGTCGGATGACTATTTTGGAGGTGACACACATGCTAGGTGACGGGCGTGTGGGCGTGCACCGTAGGGATTGTGACTTGGTCCGTCCCGCTAGACTGTGGAATTAATTGGCCTACTGTTTAATACATGTTCCCTCTATTTTCATAGGAATTGACTGTACTTCATGTTAGAAATCATGTTTAGGTCTTATGTGATCACTGTTTAGGCCTCCGTGTGTTACTGTTCATTGTTGATATATGATATTACTTATGTTTGGGCCGATTTCTGAGAGCCCAAGAGACTGGAGAGATTGATGACTGAGTGAGGCCGAGGGCTTAAGTGTGAGGTTATTAATATTATAGCACGCGAGTTGTGAGTTGTCCACAAGTGAGCGTAGTCGACCATATATATATGGATCGGGCTGCATGCCGCAACCATTATTATGAGGTACATGCTGAGTGTGAGTGCTGATTGATAAGAGTTGAGTCATGGGGGACTGAGAGGCTTGCCCGAGGGGCTATATATACATACATACGAGTGATGTTTTGCCCGAGGGGCTTGTTTTGTGAAATTTCTGTCTTCACTCATCTTTATACTGAGCCTATATTAAAAATGTTAAACAAATATTTTGAACAACTTTCATTGGAACTGGAGTTTTTTTACGAGATGTTTGGAATTAAATTACTGATTTGGTTTTGTTATTTCCACTGAGATTTTTAAGTTATGAGATGAGCTGAGTAACTGTTGCCTTGAGAGGCTATATTTGTTTTCAGTTAATTGCTGCACTTAGTTTCTATTTATCCTTGTAGTACATATTTATGGAATATTTGATATCTGGGTTATTTGAGTACGCACTGATGAGACTTAAACTGTTAAATTGAAAGTATGGCTATTCTTATTGAAAATTATTGAGATAATTGTATTTGCATAGCTTGTCACTACTTCTCAGTTCCTTACTTATTTCTATTACTTACTGAGTTGGTGTACTCACGTTACCCCTGTACCTCGTGTACAGATCTAGACACGTCTGGTCACGGTGGTTGCTGATTGAGGAGTCAGACTTAGGAGACTATTGAGGTAGCTGCATGACGTTCGCTGACCTTGACTCTCCTTTCCTTTCATATTCTACTGTTCTATATTTTCAGATAGTGTTTTATCAGTCAGATGTTGTTATCTTTTAGATACTCATGCACTCAGTGATACCAGGTTTTGGGGATGGCTTGTATAGTAATTTTGGATTTATATTCTATTTTTTTAAAAAAGTATTTCTTTAATATTAACTACTTCCGCCTTTATTTAAAAGTTCTACTGTGTTGAGATGTCGAGTTGAGGCTTGCCTAGTTCCACGATAGGCGCCATCACGACAGGTGAGATTTTGGGTCGTGACAAGTTGGTATCAGAGCCCTAGGTTACATAGGTCTCACGAGTCATGAGCAGGTTTAGTAGAGTCTTGCGGATCGGTACAGAGACGTCTATAGTTATCTTCGAGAGGCTGCAGAACCCTTTAGGAAATTCCACATTCTTGAATTCTTATCGCGCGACATTGATTAAACTTGAACCATAATTCCTTGAATTCCTTCCACGCATTCGTGTGAGCACATGAGAGCTCGGTATCTGTTGTGCATCGACAGCTTGTGATTTCCTGGATGAGGTGCGAGATGTGATTTCTGTATGTGATGTTGGGCCAGTCTGGAGGACATGAGGCCAGATTTTGTCTGTGGCTTGATTATTGAGATTTTGATTGTGTGAGCACGTGCATTTAGGACTTATACGTCCGTTTGTGTCCTTACTGGTGGATTTGTGACTAGATAACTAGGGGGTGAGTATGATTTGATTGCGAGATGTGTTCAAATTATTCGAATGTGACGGGAAGAGTTTGCTGAGGATGTAGCAAGGATTATTGGGTGTTTGACTTTTGTCTTGAGTTGGCATAAGGCCTCGAGCTATGGGTGTATTGAAGGACCTATCGTGTAGTTTAATTGTGCAGCGGAGTAAATCTTCATATTGTGTTATGAGTTCAGACTCAGAGGGGGGTTAAGTGATTGTGTAATAGTTATGATTATTGAGGAGTATAGAGAGATACCAGTTTGAGGCTAAGCAAGTGGATTATCTCCTACGAGATGTTCTGAAGTTGTGTGATCCTTATGTTGTTGGTTGGTAGTCCTCTTTTACTAGTGCAATATGTGTGTTGCAATTTGAGTTTGGATCGCTTATAAGAATGGGCTTGACTGTTACGAGGGTGAATGCGAGATTTGCAAATGATTTGAGGAATTAGATGGGTTGCATTAGCTTATGAAGGATTTAGCTTAATC